TCGGTATCAAAATAAATCGACTATGGCAGAGGTGTAAAGTCGAATACACTTGAGGTACATGAGTTAGAAAAACCTGATCAATATTGAAATAAATATATTATGATGGAGGCGCAAGGTTGAATGCGCCTGAGATGCATAAGTCGAAAAAACCCGATCAATACCGAAATAAATATGTTATGATAGAGGCACAAGACCGAATGTGTCTGAGACATGTGAATTAAAAAAACCCAATTAACATAAAAATAAATCCGCTATGGCAAAGGCACAAGGATGAATGCACCTGAGATGTGTGAGTCGAGAAAATCTGATCGACACTAAAATAAATTTACTACTGTAGAGGTGCAAGATTGAATGTGCTCGAGATGCATGAATCGGGAAATCCGACCAGCCCGCCACAGTAGAGTCACAAGCCAAATGTGTTTGAGACATGCGAGTCGAGAAACATGATCATTATCAAGAAAAAATTACTACGATAGAAGTACGAACCCAATGATTCTGAGACACCTAAATCGAAAAAACCCAACCTGCAAAATGAGATCCTCAAACATTCTCATGATAAAAAAAAATCAAATGATGTGCTTTAGATCCCTCTTACAAGAATCTCAAAGTATGCCTTTAGGGGGGACAAATAATAAAAAATTTACCGACGGTTGACATATAGTCGCCACATGTCATCCAAGTTATCCTTCATCCACCTAGTATAAAAAATAAAGAAACACAAGATTCCTTCTCGTTCATTATGGCAAGGAAGACAATCATAAACTATCCTCTCTCCTAGCAAGGAAGACAATCATAATTTTTTTTCTCATATGATGAGGAAAGCAATTCTAAACTTCTATATCTTTCTTTATGACAAAGAAATACTTCATAAACTTTCTTTTCCTCCTTTAAGGTATAAATGCATATCCTAAACAAAATGGAGAGGAGTCTCGCTTTCCTACTACTCGAGCTTATATTTAGGGATTCAGATTATTAACTTAAGTATTGGAGGGATTGGATCAAGAAATAATCCCCGATCTTAGTTTTCATGTAAGTGTCATCTTAGAACTACTTCGGAGCCACTTCAAATAATATTGTGCTTAGTCTGGATCACAGACATCGGGTTGATCAAGATGTTAACAATATTTTCTCTTAACATAAGAAAACTTGTTTCCTTTTAACTTTCATCCACCCACTATGAAGACTTTCAATCCATCCAAATGTTGATCTATTGAATATATTAATACACACATAATACAAATAATCTTATATACTACTTTTGTTATCCTTATGTGTTTGACTATAAGAAAACACTACAGAATGATATTCCCACTTCAATCACACTATTTAGTTTGATAAAAGAGTTCAAATTTTATTTCATTAGTATCTATTGTCCAAAATATACCATTATAATATTCTTGATAGTTTGGTAAGGGGAGGATGACTCCTTATCTAGTTGTATCTCAATATTCATTGATGAGACTCATTAATTGGGTAATTATTATCCTTTTATATTCTTGATAGTTTGGTAAGGGGAGGATGACTCCTTATCTAGTTGTATCTCAATATTCATTGATGAGTGATAAGACTTCAATATTCATTGATGAGTGATAAGACCCTAAAGTCTTATCGTAGGCTCTAATATCAAATGATAAGACCCTAAAGTCTTATTGTCGCTCTGATACCAAATGATAAGACCCTAAAGTCTTATCGTCGCTCTGATACCAAATGATAATACCCTAAAGTCTTATTGTAAAAAAAGAAGATGAGAAAGGGAATGATAATGATCGCTTCGAGGGGATCGACCTCCTAGGGTTTGTCCAAAGACAGAATAATATTTTTCATAGATTAGTAAAAAAAAACAGTTACATCCAGAGTCCATCAGGACTTGAACTCTAATAATAAATAAATATTAAATAAACCTCTACTTGACTCTAACTGAACCAAACCGACTCAATAAACAATTGGACTAAACAGACTCAACAAACATTATTCAAAAGCTCAGAAAAAGGATCCTAACAATGAGACTCATTAATTGGGTGATTATTATCCTTTTATAATTGTTCGCATATTTATTAATAGTTTAAAGTTATTGTAGTTCCTTTTATCGATAGTTAAAAAGGCTCAACAATGTTTCTTGACCTACTATAAAGGGAAAATCAATATATAATAGATAAAACCATCGAAGAATAAAATGGGCAATACTAAGAAGTGACGTGCATACGAGCAATCTTATTGAGTTCATCTTTGATATCTCATGAAATTCAGTTGTTGGGATAATATATGTCTAATATTGGTCATATTCTAAAATCAAAAGATGCTCGCAACTCCAGTTGTTTGAGTCAATAATGGTCTGCCCTCTTCGGGTAGATTGCTTCCTTAAGTTGGTCATGTCAATAAAATTATCTTACCTTAAGGATAGTCACATCATTTTCCTAAGTCGATCACTTTCTTGTAATGAATGATGGTGGCTTCAAGTCTATGACATTAAGTTGAATATACCTTTGAGATGTGTTTAAGATAATCACTCGCTTAAGTGATGATACTTTTATATCATTCTCAAATCATTAATGTCTAATTATTTTAAAGTTAGTTGTAGCTCCAAAATGATCATCTTTTCAGTTAATTATATCCTTAAATTGACTACATTTTCCAAGAAGATATATCGTCACATTGACGATATCTTATAAATGATTGTGTCATTTTGAGTCGGTTAATGTCAATTGCTCCTTTAAGAAGGCACATTCTCTTCCTTGTGTTCACGATGTCATCAAGACGATCTTACCCGCAAGACAATCATACACTCAAGTCAACCTCTTCCTTATGTTGGTCATGACATTGAGGCATCTTCAAGTTTGTCACAACTTCTAATCATCCTTAAATTTGCTAATATTGTGTCTTTCAATCGACTATTGCCCTATGTAAGTAAAAAGTCATCAATCCAGCTTACTCAAGTAGGTGCAAGTAGGCTGCTGGAGTGAATATAAATATAGATTTAATTGGACAACTACAACTTGGTATGAGAAAAAAAAATTTATTTGACTAAGTCTCAAGGATTAGTCTTCTTATTGGTATAAGACTCCCTCAACCACCTAGGTGCTTATATAAATATATAAATATATAAATATATAAATATATAAATATATAAATATATATATATTTATATATTTATATATTTATAT